AGCAGACTGAAAAGACTGAACACGTGACAGAATGGAGGTGATTGTGATTTCGCGTTTCCCGTCGGCACGCTTACGATCGAGTTTTGGTCGCTCACTCCAAAGAAAACGATGCATCTCGTACGCTTCAAATCGCATTCGACAAATCGTCATGTCGGTAAAGTATTTACGATCTTTACTGACGTCTACGCTGCTGTCACCATGCTCGGCACGGTCGAGATCAATGTCATCAATGTTCAGTGGGAAGCGGGTATCATAATCCTCGAGTCGAATCTGTGGACGAGGGCCAACAGCTTCGCATGTCCGGAGATCCAAGAAACAGATTTGATACCACAAGAGGCGCCGTACTTGAATCTCGACTGGTGAGGAACTGTACGCTGTTGGATCCCGGTGCAAACCCATGCACTCGGCTAAGCGGATAAGTGATCCGGTGAGCGCAGAGTGTGAGCGGGATACTTCATTGCGACAAAGGGGGATCTATAAACAAATGTAAGCTTAGTCTTGTAGACTTGAGCGGCAAAAGCTAGGATGTAATACTCAGTTCTCTCTGGGAATTTGTAGACTTACAAGGTACATCACAAACGCTTGGAGGGTCTCCAATTTCGTAGTGCGGAGGAAGTTGGCTTTAGCAAGTGCTTTTTCGGTTCCTTCACGGAAGCTGTCTACCATTGTTCGTTTTTCCATACCAAACTTGACGCGCACCTCATCCTCAGTCATGGAGACGACTGAGCTTAATAATGCTGCAAAGAGCACGGCTTGGAAAGATGAACGAGGCTCCGTGCCCATGTTGACCCTGATCCAGAAGTTCTGATACTGTCGCTCGAAGGAAGGGCGATGCACTGTTCGGGCTACAATATGAACAAAGTTCCAATAGTGAGCGAGCAACTCGTCAACCACCATTCGTGAGGGCAGATGAGCCTCAAGATATGTTTGATTGATTGTCGATGTCAACATGAAATTTGAAGACGGGGCAACGTAATCCTGTGTAGGTGCTAACCAGTCTGCAGGATCCTCTCCGGTACTAATCTGAGGAGGGTATTCTGAGTCTGGCAGCTCATTAAGTGCCCGAGTAAGCTAGTGCAGCTCTGTCAGTATAGGTGTGCATGTCAAACAAATGTGAACTCACTTCATCGGAAAATCTTGGGCGCACAAGTCCTCCAATGCGTTCTGTGATTCTGATTCGGCCCATGCGAAAACCCAGATCGTCTATATCTTCATTAAGGTTGACATCGTCGTCGGGCTCATAGTAAGTGGCATCTTCGGTAACGAGATGCGTCGGTCGCAGATTTTGAGTCTCCTCATCGTCTTCTTTGTCGCTAGACTGCTCTTGGCCAGGCAGTGCGCTGACCCTGGAAAAATCAGAAGGGCTTCGAGTATTTGCTTCCGTTTTGCGTGCGACATCTTCTTCGAGGCTCCTCTCCAAACGGCCCATCTGCTCCTTCACCTCAGCGAGCTTTGCCTGGGCGTTTGAGTCAAGCCCGGAGGCGATGAAGACGCATTGACGTGCGTTCTTGGTGCAGTGTGCACACGGATGACATTTGTCACATTTTAGTTTCCGACGCCTACATTCGAGGCAAGAAGTGATGAGCCGGTTGCGACGACGAACGCGCGGTGGCGGCTGATGTGTCGTCTTATCGGCGACAACTGGTGGAGAAGGTTGAGAACCATTTTGGCTCGGCAACGATGGGCTGGACATGTCTGAGGTGTTGTTACAGCCCAGTGGTGGAAGGATCGGTTCCTTACGGACGTAAGATCCCAGACTCGTACAGCTTGTGCAGCGATTAGCGAGACGGAAGGTATCAAGCAGGGCGCATCATACGTTAGTAATGGTTGGTTGCCTGTCCTCTACCTTTTCGACAGCTAGATGATAGTGCAGGTGGAACTTGATATGAGACCTAGGTAGGAATCGGGATTGCTGGATGGTGCAGGTACCCAGGACCCAGACTGTCCAGCAGCTGCGGATAATGTCAAACCTCTAGAGAATCGTGCGTTTGGAAGTTCTCCTCCTCCCTGAATCACAGATGCTTGGACGACTGTTTCGTGGTGACTGTGTTGGCAGCTTTATTGCGACCTAGTAAGACCGTCAGCCCCACCTTGGCTCTTCGTGAAGCACTGACTATGGCTGATTAGTCTATGTCAGCGTCATTGGCTCAGTCCCATGTCCCACCAAACTCAATCTACCTTGGTTGCAAAGACGAGGCTGTGGGCATGACAGTGGAAGCTTCCACGTGGCTTGTAGTCTCCAGGCATTTGTCAGGTATACACGGAGATTATGAGCTATATATCTCTGAACCAACGCCTGCGATGCAAAAGCCGACCATTATGAGATCTGGCTCAATGGTATCCCTCAACACTACACAGAGAGTCGCGCATCAAACCAAGGAGATGGTGTTGTCCTCCAACCAAAGACTACGTATAACGTTGACCGTATTTGCGACGTTCCTGGAGCCAGTGAGGCTAATGCAGTTGACTGGATCCAAGTCTCGCTACTAAGTACCTACCAAGGTCAATCAAGCACGAAATCTATCGTAACATGGGTAATTGGTAGGCTCGGAATCAAGCAAGGAGCGATGCTACGCCTGATCAGTTCGTCTCATTTGTTTCCAGATGCGGGGGACAAAGAGCATACGACCTCGACGCGAACGCGTAACGCCTGGTCACGTTTCCAAAGGACGCGACCCGCGACAGGCCTAAAGACAATGATCCACTGATCGTTGCCGCCGCGATCTCTCTAACGCACGTCCTCACCGCTTCCATAACAAACACCTTTTCCTGCCGCCTTTTGCAGAATCCCCACCACGCACGCCTCTCGACTCCCAAATCCATCACATTACCCAAACCAGTCGTACCACCTGCGTTTGTTCCCAATCAATTACCCCCCGACTCCAAAATGTCTGTCGTTTCGCTCCTCGGTGTCGAGGTTAAGAACAACCCCGCGCGCTTTGACGAGCCATACGAGTTTGAGATCACCTTCGAGTGTCTTGAGCAACTACAGAAGGGCAAGTGCGCCCGAATGTGCATATCCGCCACTGTCACTAATAAATTCCAGACCTCGAGTGGAAGTTGACCTACGTTGGCTCCGCGACCTCGTAAGACCACTCCTGTATCCCCTTATGAACACGTCTGATCAACATACTGCAGAAACGAGTACGACCAAGAACTCGACTCTGTCCTCGTCGGTCCTCTCCCGGTTGGCGTCAACAAGTTCCAATTCAAGGCCGACCCCCCCAACCTGTCGCGCATTCCCAACAGCGAGATCATCGGTGTCACAGTCATTCTGCTCAGCTGCAGCTATGATGAGCGCGAGTTCGTGCGTGTCGGATACTATGTGAACAACGAGTACACAGACGAGGCGCTGGCACTCGACCCGCCTACCAAGCCCGTCATCGAGAAGGTGCAGAGGCAGATTCTTGCAGAGAAGCCACGAGTCACGCGCTTTGCCATCAAGTGGTATGTTCAAGCACAGACAGCTACGTTCCTTTGGCAGTACTAACCTTGGTAGGGACTCCGACGAGTCTGCACCCCCTGAGTTCCCCCCTGAGCAGCCAGAGGCCGACCTCACCGCAGACGGAGACCAATACGGTATCGAGGAAGAAGAGGAGGAAGAGGAAGAGGGTGAGGGTGCTGCCGCTGAGGGCGAGGATGCTGCCATGGCAGGCGCCGAGGACACTGCAGGCCCCGCCAACGACGAGGATGCCGAGTCCGAGGCCGGCAGCGAGGAGATTGACATTGAAGATTCAGAAGACGATGAGGAGGAGGAGGGCGAGGAGGGCGGCGACGATGACATGGAGATGGATGAGGGTGAAGCAGGCGCCGCCAACGGTGACAAGCCAGCCCAACAACAGCCCGGAGGTGCCCCGCAGCAACAGTCTGGTGCGGACGTGATGGTCCACTAGATGTGCCTCTATCCTTGTTGCTTGCATACTTCATCATCGCGGATGCCTCGAGCAGTAAGCGATCTCCGCCGCCTTGTGGTTTCATTCCAGATATGTATACAGTAGCTGCAGTGTTGCTCTGTCAACACGGCTTTGTCTTCGTCTTATCACGAAGGAGTTGAATTACGAATACCCTATTGAATTTGTAGCACATCATACGTGACAAACTGCGTGCTATGACAGAAACCTTGGTGATGAGGCCTGGATGGCTAGAACGTATGCAGCCGCGCAAGCCATTGCTGCATTTCGTCTCCGTCCTCACCTGGTGGATCCGCCGTCAGATCCGAAATTGTTACGACAGGCGTGCGCGACCGAAAGTGGTGGTTCGGAGCAACGTCAACGTCACTGCACAGCCTCGAAGTGAATGGCACAGTAACGTGAGCTCGGCGGCTGGTTTCCGAGACTTGTCGAAACATTTATAGTAGCTGTGAACGACAGGCGGGTAAAGGATGACATTGTTAACAAATGCCGGTCACCACCTCGAGGGACCATCCACTCCTTGTTCTTGTGACCTTGGAAGCGCACATGTATGCAAGCTGGAGAGCTCACTCGGGCCTCAACGTCAAATAACGCACCTTTCACTACCCATATTCCTAGGACTGCCGCGATTACTTCAGCATCTGTTTCAGTAGCAAACAGCCTGCTCCGCCGTTTCGAATCTCTCCTGAACCTATTCTTTTCCGCCTGCGCCACTCCTCAACCGCTCACTGCCGCCGCCTCCGCTACTTATACCGCCGCCTCTGGCGACATACTTGATCCATATACGACTACGAGGGATCGACGGCTTTCTCGTATACGATACCCGACAGATCGCAAGGGTTGTCGGCGAGTTCGCATTTAGCGACGGCGATTCAGGGACATACCCCACCAAGTTAAGGTACGTGGTACGCTCATTTCCTGCTCCACGCGTCACTCGGCATGCATGGCGGCCTCGATGACTGCTTCGCGGAACGGTCCTTGGAACCAGGCGGCAACCTGCATAGAACGCTGTTTCTCTTGGACAACGGCTGACGCCTACATCTCAAGCATCACAGCGTGCAGCAGTTGATACCCTATCGCAACATCATAATGAGCTACCACCAGGGCCAACCCCAGCTCGGGGCGACTTTTGTGCCAGGAGGCTTCGATGACTATTATATGCCGGCTCCTTCGCCTGAAGTCATCTCGCCTGCGCCTCAGCGGTTCGTTCTAGCCCATCACCATATGCATGCCCTGAAATTGCGGCTGACGTAGGTTTGGCGGTAGGATAATGCCCGAAGTGCCCGAGAACATGCAAGAAAACATCGCGCATCTGGAGCTGGAAGCCAACGGCCCTCGTGGTACCAACGGCGCCATGTCACCCATGCAGGGCTACAATCAGTCACAGCAGAACTTCCCGCCGCGACAGGCGAGCTACCAGAACGAGCTGCCTGTCCACAACGATCAATGGCCGGCGCGGCAAGCGAGCATCTCCTCTGCCTTCCGGCAACCACCAAACGTGCAGCCTCAGTCGGTGCAGCAGCAGCCGTCGCACGACTACAACCAGTTCGCCCAGAGCCACGACTCGCCCAACTTCTCCCCCTTCCCCAAGCTTCCCAACAAGCCTCCGAACGTGCCGCCGTCCGACGATGAGAAGGAGGCTGTCCTGGAGAATGCCCGCTTGCCGGTGCTCAACTCGAATGATCCCGAGATGCAGCTGGCATGGGCACAAGATGCACTGCAATATGTAGACGCCGCGCAACTGCACGAGCAGCGCATTTCAGAGATCCAGGGGGCGAGACCGGCCACACCACAAGTCGAGCACCAGCTCCGTCTGGACGCGATGAACGTAGTCACCTTCTTAGCGGACCAAGGCCATCCGAAAGCGACCTTTATGCGGGGTATGTGGCTAGAGTTTGGCAAGTTTGGCATGCGCGCAGACAAGAAGGAAGCGTTCAGATGCTACTCCCGCGCGGCTGCAAAGGGATACGCAAGGGCAGAATACCGCATGGGCATGCAGTTTGAGCAGTCGAATGACCCCATCAAGGCTCTGCAGAACTACAAAGCTGGCGCCGAACAAGGCGACTCAGCCTCCAACTACCGTCTTGGTATGATGACGCTGCTCGGACAGCACGGCCAGCCACAAGACTTTGCAAGAGGAGTACAACTGATCAAACTGGCTGCGGCCACTGCCGATGAGAATGCTCCACAGGGTGCTTACGTGCTGGGCATGCTTCAGGCGCGAGAACTGCCCCAAATCAATGTGCCCGAGATGTTTTTGCCCTACGATGAGAAGGGCGCAAGACAAAACATAGAGAAAGCCGCCTATCTCGGGTTCGCAAAGGCTCAGCTGAAGATGGGCTCCGCCTACGAGCTCTGCAGTCTGGGCTGTGAGTTTAACCCTACGCTGTCGTTACACTACAACGCACTCGCATCTAGGCAGGGTGAGCCCGAGGCAGACATGGCTATCAGCAAATGGTTCCTCTGTGGACACGAAGGAGAGTTCAATAAGAACGAAGAGCTGGCGTACCAATACGCGCAACGTGCCGCAGCGGCTGGCCTCGCGACAGCAGAGTTCGCCATGGGCTACTTCAACGAGATCGGCATGAACACGCCGGTCAATCTTGACAAAGCCTTGGAGTGGTACGAAAAGGCAGAGAAGAACGGCAACAAAGATGCGACTGCACGTATAGAGAGCATCTCCAAGCTGTCACGGACGCTGTCAAAGAAGGACCATGAAAACGTCGCTATCAACATGATCAAATCGAAGCACGGCTCCATGCGAGGGCAGCGGCCAGCGAGACTGCAAAAGTCACATGCTCCTATGCCTTCTATCACCGATATCAGTCCTTCTGATTACGGCGATACCTCCCCAGCCACCCCTACAGGTGGTCGCCATCCGCCAAGGGGCGATAGTACAACGCCGTATCCTATGTCTGACCAGCCCCCAATGATCTCGAATGCCCCCATGTCGGCTCCCTACGACCGTCCCTCTACAGCAGCGCCATACCCTATGGACAATGGCCCCCCTCGACTAAGTCCACAGCGGCCAGGTATCGCCGGTGGCTTTGCGCCAGAGGTGAGGGCTTCGAGTGCTCGACCTGCATCGTCAGCATTCAACATCAACCCCAACGTTTATCCTCCAAATGATCCTTATGGACGCGGCAGTCCTCGACCTAATCCCGGTCCTGGTTACGACTTGGGTCCGATGCCAATGCGTCCTCACACGAGTGTGGACAACATGGGTCCAGGACGTGGTGGACGCCCTTCCAGCGGTGGTCGTGGTGCGCCGCTGCCACCAGGAGGACCAGCGAGTTACAGACAGCCGGGAGGACCGAGCGCTCAACGTCCAGAATCCCAGAACCGCCCATCGACGACGCAGCCTCCTGATATTGGATACAGTGCGCCAGATGGACGTAACAAGCTGCAGAAACCGACAGGGGCGCCACTCAAGAAAGCGCCCACACTGCCAGACATTGGCTACGTCGCGCCTCTCGAGCCCCGCCAGCACACCCGCCCATCTACAGTTCAACCAGGTCAGGAGAGTAGGACTTCTTCACGGATGGATAGACCCTCGACTACTACACCCGGTCAAGGCTCCCGACCCTCATCACGGCCAGGCTCCTCTGGTCGTCCTAGCGGATACGACAACATGCCCAAGCCTAATAGGGTACAAACATTGCAACAACAGCAACCACCTCCCAAGCCTGCGCCAGTGCAAGCAGGTAAGCCGGCGACGCCTACACCACCTAAGCCAGCGCCATCAGCTGCTTCGACACCAGGCAAGGGACCAAAGACGTTTGATGAGATGGGCATAGGACAGGCGCCTAAGGACAGCGATTGTGTAAGTTGCATCACCTCTGTTGGTGACCAAAAACGCTTGCTGACGTATCTCAGATTGTCATGTAGATTGAACAGTGCTGGCACGGCGCAATACTCAATGAATTTTGCATAGCGGAACATCTTAATCTTGCATAGTAGTGAACAGTCGCAGTACTGACACTTGATATACCCATTTTTGGAAACACCTGAGGCGGCGTTGGTGATTGTCTAGTATAGAAAAATTCCAGTCGCGAAATGACATGACCCAATTTAGTGCCATGGCTGGACGTTCAAGTGTGATGTGTGGCTGCAGGCCAAGTACGTGATCGTACCTAGCTTGTGAGCTGCTTCTATTTCAACAACATGTATTCTGACTACACACAGATGCCTTGCGGTTTGGAGCGTAGGCATCCTTGCGCGCGTAGAACATGAGCCGCTGTAGCACCGCGATGTCGCACTACGTTTTAGAGTAGGTGGGATGAGATGGCACCAAGGCAATCACGCGGTGACGCGCTATCACGTGTCAGGGTCAATCGTAGTTGAGTTGAATCGAACTGTAGTATGCACCATAGCCAACCCAGAACTGTCCTATATGATTCATGTTCGCTCAATACCATTTCGTCCCGACTGTACATCGTTTGTGAATTCTTATATTACCGCGTCAATGTGAGATCGCCAGGCACGGACACTAGCGCGGTTCCCGAACGGTTCAGTGGGGGAGGAGCGCGTTCTGAACTGCCTCGCCTGCAAACGCTTACCAGGCCCCTACAACTCAACCGCGCCCCCCCAACTCTTTCTCTGGGATCGGAGTAGCCGCAGTAATGTCTGCGAAGCGCCCTCGCGCTCTCACAGATGGGGTTGATCCTAGCGGCTCAGGTAGCAATAGTCGCGTACATCAACCGTCCCAAGCCAGCACCAACACATATGCTAACACTGTCTAGGGCAAACGAGCCCGACAATCTGAATCCCAAGACAGCGACCAGTCAGATGACGAACGATCCGACGCGGCAAGCGGCAGCGAGTCACCCGATGATGAAGGTGAACAGACTCGCGAACATGAGATATGGGCAACACAGCAGGTGCAGAGAGAACGCCAGGCGACTGCAAAACGGCAGAACGAGCCAACGGACTCTGGTATCATCGAGGAAGTTCAGTGTATCAACTTTATGTGTCACGAACATCTAACGGTGACCTTGGGACCTTTGATCAACTTCATCATCGGACACAACGGTAGCGGCAAGAGCGCAGTGCTCACAGCAATTCAAATTTGCCTGGGTGGAAAGGCTACAGCCACAAACCGCGCCCAGAACCTCAAGAGCCTCATCAAGGAGGGCAAAGAGCACTCCTCTGTGTCTGTCAAGATTAAGAACCAAGGGCCACTCGCTTACAAACCTGCGCAGTACGGCGACTCGATCATCGTCGAACGACACTTCAGTAAATCCGGCACTTCGGGGTTCAAGCTCAAAAACGTAAATAACAAACTTGTTACGAACAAAAAGGCTGAGCTTGAAGACATCCTGGACGCGTTCTCTATGCAAATTGACAACCCAATGAACGTGCTAACGCAGGACATGGCAAGACAGTTTCTGAACCACTCGACATCGAAAGACAAATACAAGTTCTTCCTGCAAGGCACGCAGCTCGAGAATCTCAATAGAGACTATCAGCAGATCGAACAGTCTCTGGAAGTGATGAATGCGAGAGCAGAGGTCAAGGAAGCCGACCTTAGGGTCCTGAGAAACGAGATGGAAGTGCTGGCGAGGAAAGCTAAACGCGCGGCAAGTCTGCAGACCATGCGAGATAAGGAAGCGGAGCTCGCCAATCAAGCAGCGTGGGCGGCTGTCCGGGAGCAGGAACAAGAGGTGGAAAACAGTTTAAAGGAAATCACGAAATGCGATGAAGTCATACAAGGGCTACAAGGGGACGCAGAGAAGGCAGCAGAGCGTTACGAACAAGCAGATCAAGCCTGTGAAGCTGCGAAGCAATCTGTCACTGATATTACAGCTGATTTAGAGCCTGCGGAGCAATCGTTACTTGAGGCCAGAGGGAAATTTCAAGACATCAGAACGAAACTCCAGCAACTACAGCCTGATGAACGGAATGTTCATAGCGAGTTGAAAGCAAAGAAGAAGAAAGCGCAAGATATCAAAGCAGAGATCGAGCAATACCGACGACGACAGGCTGAAGCGGACAATGGTCGTCATGCCGAGAAGGCTCGGGAGTGTGAAGAAGCCAAAGTACAACGCGACAATGCCAGGGCTGCGTTCGAAGCCCATGATACAGGCCTTTCAGCTCTGCAGGAGAAGCTCAAGGACGCCCAGAAGGAGCAGCACGAAGCGGATCGTGAAACGGAAGAGGCGCGGGCCGGCGTCACACGCATCATGAATACTATCAGAGCACTGCAAGGAGGCCAGAGCAACTGGATCGAAGCGTATCCAAATCACAGAAAGCTGAATGAGTTACTCAATGCGATCAAGTCTGAGCGCAGGTTCAGAGAACCACCAGTCGGGCCTCTCGGTCGTCACGTCAAGTTGGTGAAGTCTCAGTGGGGCCGGATCTTGGAAAAGCAGTTCGGTCAAGCCTTGAATGGGTTTGTTGTCACAAGCAGGCAAGATCAGAATACACTGTCTGTCCTGATGAACAGGATTGGCTGGTATGTGTTTACTTCTCATTTCGTCGACGAAGCTAACAAATCTAGGTCTGCTCCAATATACATTGGCAAAAAGGCGCACATAGACACCACTGGGAGTGAGCCTCCGGATGAACTTGTGACATGGATGAGAGCTCTTACGGTAAGCACGGTCTCTGCGCGAATGGTGTAAAGATATCCAGCTGACCAATACACAGATCGAAGAAGACCTTGTTCGAAATCAGTTTATTATCAATCAGTCGATCGAGCAGACCGTGCTCATCGAGGACATGAAGGAAGGTGCCCATTTCATGGATGCCCGTGGAAAATCGACCGAACATGTTAAGATGTGCTTCACTTTTGCAGATGGCGACACTCGAAAAGGTCGCGTCATCAGCTACACCAACAACGGAGGTATCAACAACAGCCCGATTGCGGAATACTCCGGACCTCTGCGTATGCAGGTAGATGAGCCTACACAGATCAAGTGCGAACAAACGATCCACATGTCTGGAAACTTGCTAACTAGATATGTAGGACAGAGGAGAGAAATCTCGCTCAGGCTCAAAAACAACTTGAGGCTTGTGAGAAGATCTCTAGTCAACGGCTTGATCAGGTCAATACATGCAAGTCTCGGATACGAGATCACGAACGCCAGAAGAAAGACCTTCAAATTGCTTTCCAACGTGCCAACAAAGAAGTGGACCGACTTGAGAACGAATTGGACGAAGCAACTCCTGACGCAGCAGCTATCCAGGTGCGCGAGGCAGACCTTGCAAAGGCCCAAGAAGAATTGGTGATAAGTGAGGGAACATTTGAAGATTTGAAAATCTCAAAATACCAGCTTGATGATGAAAACAAGGCGAACAAACGGGAGATGGATGAAGCGCAAAAGGTTGTCGCTGACTACCAGTTCCGCCTCGAGAAGGCGCAATCGACGGTTCGAAAAATGCAGGGCACGCGAGAAGAACAGCTCAAGCTCAAGAACGCCGCAATCGACCAGGTTGCCAAAGCTGAAGACATCAAGAAGCAGTGGCAAGCAGAGCTAGCCGATCAACAGGCCCTGCTGGTAGAAGTGATTGATGGTGCGAAGACCATCTGTGAAGAGCGTGTTTTTGTCCCCCCTGACAAGACATCTGACAAGCTCCAAGAGGCGATGGTCAGGATGGAGAAAACAAGAAAGGAGACAGAAAGGGAGCTCGGTGGATCGCAGCTGGATCTTACTCGGGCGGCAAGTGAAGCGAAGCAGAAGCACCACGATGCAATACAGGAGTATGAGGACATCGACAACTTGTGTCGTGTAAGTATAGTTGCATGTACGATTTTGACTTCTGCTAACATGGTACAGCAACTCATGAAGACCCTGGATAACCGACGTCTTCGGTGGAAGCAATTTCGAAATGGCATTTCTGTCCGGGCGCGGGTCACCTTCAACTATCTGCTGAGCGAACGCAAATTCAGAGGGACGCTTCGTATCGACCACGAAAAGGCTCTTCTTGATATTCACGTAAGTTTGAACATTAGCCCGACGCCGCACAATGCGCTGACTTTGCAAGGTTCAACCGGATATCACAGAGCGAAGCGGAGATGGTAGAGAAACCAAGACGCTCTCTGGAGGAGAGAAATCCTACTCTACCGTGTGCCTGCTCCTCTCACTATGGGATGCAATGGGCTCACCCATTCGTTGTCTCGACGAATTGCAAGTTGTCCAAAGTCCCCTTTTCCCTGCACTAGCTAACTAATTGTCCCAGTGACGTCTTCATGGACAATGTCAACCGTGAGAGAAGTTTACACATGATCATCGAAGCTGCTCGCCGCTCAATCGGTCGACAGTTCATCTTCATCACCCCACAGTCGATGAGCAGCGTCACCCAAACCTCGGACGTCAAGATCATCAAGATGTCGGACCCAGAGCGTGGGCAGACGGCACTGAACATGGGACGAAGTTGAGATGCCCCTGGGATACGGCGTTGATTTGTTGAGCATTCTATCGGCGTTGTTGTATGAGGCTACTAACCATGGAGTTTTTGGATGGTTATACCCGCTCACAAAGGCAACTTTGATTTCATGGCAAGCAGTATACATGTATAGTACCGTAGTTTCAGTGCAGACGCAAGACTTGGATTGTCTCCGCAGTTGCATGTACATGCGCAGTGGACGGATGCATGTACGCCTAGCATGGTGAAGTAAATCAGTCGAATTTTGCTATGTGGAGAAACTGGTTGTGTTGACTCTCGTATCAAGGTGGTCGTAGGACGTGTCAGCTCATTTGCCGCGCAAAGCGTAGTTGCGGCGTAAGCGGCGGCCGGGGCTGTTGTACAGGGAAACGGAGTTGGCATGATGTGCACAGGGTCTCTTGGCCAACCACGTCGATTGCGAGGTCTGATACAACACTTGCACTCGACGGCTCGCTGGCAAACCTTGGGCACATGTAAGAACCGTGTTCTCGTGCTGTTCCCGCACTCGGCTTCCCACCTCCTCCGGGAGCCTATATGCTGCCCCCCACGACGTGTCGGTCCCACACACACCATGGCCGACTCCCCACCCTCAACACCCGACACTCCACGAACTGCCTCGCCGCTACCTTCCGAGAGGGACCTCGCCCGCGCCTTTTCGCCCTCCTCGGACGATGCGCATACCGCCGAGATGCAAGCTCACGCCGAGGGTGTGTGGATGAGCGCCCCAGCGCCGAGCATGGTGAATGCGACGGAATCAGCTGAGCAGGGCGTAGAATCGAAGGGGAAGGAGAAAGCCACCAAGGGCCCCTTGAAGTTGCTGGACCTGCCTATGGATATCCTGAAGGAAATCATACACCAGGTGAGTAGGGCGGGCTTACGCGCAGCGCCTTGCAGGTGCGGCACGGTGTATGCTGACCAGCAACTCAACAGCTTCCACACACAAACGACCTCACCTCGCTCTGCCTCTGCCACTCGGCCCTCCATCGTCTCACGATCCCGTGCATATACTCGCGTTTCGACATTGTGTGGCCGGACGAGAGCACCCACAACGAGCCTCGCGCCGGCGTGGACGCCCTTACCTATGGTCTGGCGACACTGGTCATGGGCGACGACTGCTTCCCCCACCAGAACCGGCTGCGACTACAGGGACAGACGCCAACTTCCATACTGAGGACTGCCGCAAACCCATACCCCGTACCGCAGCGGCGGTTCGGCAACTACTACGGACAGTTCACAAAGAAGTTCTCACTCGGCAATGGACCGCAAGCATGGGTTCAGGAGTACATGATTACAAAGGAAGGCGGAAAGATGCTGGGAACGCTGGTAGCGCTTGCCATTGCGCGTATGGTCAACCTCGAGACATTCGTGTGGGACATGCCTACGGGTGTGCTTCGCGATGTCTGGCTTGCCCTGTCAAGCCTCGCGCACAGGAGTGATGGCGAGGAATGCCGTCTGGACCGGCTCTGGATACGATGGCACGACAACACAATCGACGCGCCAATCCCACCACCCGCACCGCCCATGATACTCAACAACCAGAACTTACCTCCGCCCCCAAACACTACGCATCCAAGCGGTCTTGGCACCGTGCAGGCTCCCATAGTCGTAGTGCCCCCGTACGCACCGAGCAGCATATCTGCCCTAGATCGAGTTGAGCACCCTACCTTTTCCGCCATACCTGCGCTGAAGAGCTTGAGTGTCTTGGATATCGACGAACTGCCATACCTCGATGAGATGAGCATCCTGATCGCAAGGTCCCAGAGGAAGCTACGCGAACTAAGAATTGGCATAGCTGCTCACGCACAGCAGCGAGACTGGGTGACGGTTTGGGAAGGTGAAGGTCTGCAGCAAGTCGACTACAATGCTACAACGACGGCAGCCTCTTCAATAGGAGAGAAGAGGCTAGGAGGTGTTCTGGGCATCCTTGTTGGCCGCATACACAACATGCGCCATTCAGAAGAGCCTCCGTCTCACAAGTCTGGCGCTACTGGTGTCACGGAGCGATCAGTGGAAGCAACGCCGGCCAAGTCGGCCGCATCCCTACCCCTGCCATCTATCGCCTCGCTCTCGTTACAAGAACGGGATCTGGAGCAGGACGTAGACCATTTTGGTAACCCGATGGAAGACAACTCTATAACGGAGGGCGTTAGTCTGTTTAGCGACAACCAGCCGAATGGTTCTGACCAAACTGCACAGACTGCCAACACAGACAACTCGGCTTCGAAGACATATGCAGAGTCCCCTCCTCATGGCGAGACCACCAATTCACAAGACGAGCCCCTACTGACTGGCAAACTGAAGCTAGAAGTCTTGGAACTCGAACGCGTTCCTCTCTCCGTCCCTGTTCTTCGCAGAGCCTTTGACTGGTCGATTCTGTCGACATTGACTCTTCTCCATTGTAGCAACCACGAACAACTGTGGAAGATACTGCGAAGGACATATACCCCTCGTCCCCCTTACCCCGGCTCACCATCTTCGTCCAAGGCGTACAAGGCGTCTTACACTCTCCGGACAGAGTATCAACTCAACCTCAAGCGAATTCACACCAATACCGTGTCCCCATCGCTGATCACTTTCCTTAAAGAAACACTGGCGCCCAATAGTCTTGAGGTGCTCTTCCTTCAAGAAGGCCGGTCTTACTCGTCTACGGTGACAGTAGACGCAATCTACAAGGGGCCGTTGAAGAGACACCGAGGTAGTCTGAAGAAATTAATGATTGACAGTGGTGAGAAAGGACCAGACGGACATACGAGTGCTAGTTCGAGATGGAGACGATGGATGCTCAACCGTGAGATTCTGACATACATAACAAGCGGTCGTATGAACAGCCTGCGAGAACTCGCAGTGTCTATCGATTACAAGGATTGGGTATGTTGCAACTCCTTGCAAGTCGAATACGTTTGACTAACTTTTGTAGCATCACTTTCTTCAGCGTCTTCCGTACATCCCTCATATTCGCTCTCTTTATATTCCCTTTATTGCAGACCACGCACATGGCAGCAACATAGATCCGCGCGAGCTCGCCTACCAGATCCTCGACATTGTGCATCTGCGACCGGAAATCGAGCTCTGCTACATGGGTCTGTCTACTAAGTGCTTCGAGATACTGGAGAACCGGCCATCGAACTATGATCTACGGCACGATGGTATGCACGCTGATGGTAGCGGCTCTGCCTACGCAACACACGATCCCATGCTTTCTGACGACGAGAGCGAAGCCACGGAAGACGAAGATGACGACGACATGGACGAAGGCGCTATGCCGCCTGGTGGTGACGACACAGAGAGCGAAGCGAGCGATGATGTGGATGTGGAAAGCGATGACGAATCGTTTGTGCAAGACTCGCAGAGAGGCCCAAAGTTACGTGTTCGAGAGATACTCTTCTACGAGGAACGAGTCGAGGCGTTCAGAAGGCGGCACGGCGTACTAAGGCCTTGAGATGATGGGATTGAACGACAGGTATGGTGTTATATAGTGTTACTGCGTCATTTACTATGTGCATGGAATGGAGCATGAAAGGGAATGGAGTAGGACGGCGTATATGGTAGATATCCTTGATAGTTCTTCATCAGGTATGTGGTCTCGAGACCTGGGAATCTTTTGTGCGCGAAGTCAGATGGCTTGATGCGTTTCAGGGCAATTTAATGTTAGATGTTAGAAATTCATCATCATTTAATTCAGCATTGGTAGTGAAAGTCGACTTGGTACCTTCTCTTCATGTGTAATTTCTATTGACGCGTTAGGATACCTAGATACCTCCCAAGGAAGGACAAAGATAGCCCCACGTGAATACGCGTTGTGCATGGCCCGAGCTCGATTTGTGACGATCGCGACTGCTGCATGCGAGAGCAAACAGTATTACCAGCCCGACACCCAACCATGAGCAGGCCTGTGATATCCGCATATCTACTGCCAGAACGCCCGTCACTCACACGCCTATGAGAAAAAAACCCCAGATCATCTCGAACACGAACCTAAACACTGGTCTAGTGGGGCCCCCAGCGTCTCCGTCCCGCCATGGACCATTCGACCCTCGTCTTCGCGTCCGTCTTCCCAGTCCTCTCCTTCTCACATAGCACGCCGACGCCGGTTGCGACACCGGATTTGGGTCACATAGCGCCAGGTACCTCGTTTGGGAGTCCCTATGCTCTGCGGAATTCTGAGAGCCGGACGCCAGCGCAAGCACAGGGCCAGGGACAACACAGAGCAGTCAAGCGCAACATAGCATGGAGCTGCGCAACACGATTCCTGAGTTTACCAAAAGACGTCAATTGCGTTTTGAGAACACAAAAGAATAGAGAAGTCGAAGAAGCGCTGAGCTTTTTGTTGAATGGAGAGGGCAAGAGTGATGATGGGAAGGAAGAAACTCTGGTTGAATGGTATACAAATGAGTGCAGGTTACACTTTGCGAACCACGTTCGGCCAGTGCTAGAAGATCTATGGAGGGACGAGGTTGAACTCGAGCGGTCGTGGGATATTCTTGATGAAACCCAGCGCATCCTCGAGCAAGTGCAGAACGCGTATCTCCAACCTTTCACCGAGCACTTGCTGCCCCTTGTGCGGCAGAACGCCAGTAATACGACCCTTCGGCCGAGCAGATCTACACAGATAGCTGACTCAGATACTGCGAGTGTAGCCGATTGGAAGTTCCGCCGGGATGTACAAGCTGTCTTTGCACATTGTCTGCCACTACAACGATATGGGAAAACGCTGAGCTATGTTCTTTACGACGCAGGATGCCGATTGTTTCGCATATATACCCGAAACGACGGTATGCAGCCGAGTACCACACCCGAGAACACGCAAGAGTTCAGGAAGCGGATGACCATGCTGCTACAAAGCCTCGAGCGCGTTGGGCTTGGTGGTGATAGTGCACAGAAGGCTTTCGCGCATGCGATGAATAAGCTGTTTGACTCCTTCATTACAAGCCACTACTTAAAGGTAGATTGGTACTCCAAGAAGTCCATCGTGCCGCAGTTAAGGTTGTGGATTCAAGACGGCTTCTGTCCGCTTGTCGAACTGGTATTGGAATGTCTGCGGTGCGAGCAGAGCAATATCCAAACCACTGAACTGACCTCATGGCAAGAGATGGCGCTGGGTAGGTTGGGACGAGCAAGAGTCGACAACTTGTTCGATTTTGTCATCAACTGGGACAAGAGTCTGGGTGCCATTCTGGACATCAAAGAGTATCTACGAGTTTCGAACGCAAAGCAGCATCTTACTTCAAGCTTTTCCCAGCAAGTATCGAGACGACTATTACATCCTGGGGCTACGACCACTTACATACTGAACGTCTACATATTCATCATTCGATCGTTCCACGAGCTAGAACCTAAGGGCGTACTCTTAGAGCGCGTAGCTAGACCGATCAGGCGGTACCTAAAAGAGCGTGAAGATACAGCACGAATCATCATATCAAGTCTACTTACTGATCTCAGCGATGAGACGGGCAGTAAGTTCTCATCGAACAGCGAGCTCTCATATGAGATTGCTAGTGAGATGGGAAAGCCGTTCGCAAACTACGGACAGGATACTGATGAGGAGCTCAACTGGAATGACATGAACTGGCAGCCGCTTCCACAAGACGCATCACCAGACTATAAAAAGTCAAAGGTCGAGGATGTGATATGGTTTTTGCTAACACTCTGGGAGCGAGAGGATTTTATCAATGAGCTGAAGAACATATATGGAGACCACTTGCTTAGATGTCAAGACCCTGAGTATGAGAAAGAAATCCGACTTTTGGAGCTCATCAAAGTGCGGCTAGGCGACGACAAGCTGCAGGCTTGCGAAGTCATGCTGCGAGATGTTTTAGAATCAAAGCGTATCAACGGTACCATCCGCACGACAATCAATGTACCAACTGCAGCATCACTTGTCACGCCAGATCACCGTAGCATAGAGCCTCGAACGCCAGATGGCCAACACCCGCGGACACCTCAGCCCCGAAGGCCAACACGGTTAACTCGAAACATCACTCCCTCTACCTCCAGTGCCGCAACACCCCCTGGTCCCACGCTCAACGCACAGATTTTATCATCATTCTTCTGGCCCCAGCTTCGCGACGACACATTCCGCGTACCTGCGCAGATTGATGCATTACAGAAGGAATACGAGTCACGTTTCGAGCGTATCAAAGGAATGCGCAAACTGCGGTGGATGAATGCCTTGGGCGACGGCTCCATAACCCTCACATTTGACGACCGCACTGAGGACTTTGATCATCTCACACCCTGGCAAGTTAGTGTAATTTATGCCTTCCAACCTCAGCCCGACGAGGAAACAAAGCATGCAGACAAAGGCGGCGAGGGTATAACACGCAGCGTGTCTCAGCTAGAAGAGATGCTGGAGATGGACGAAAGCCTCGTACACCAAGCCCTCTCCTTCTGGGTGGGCAAATCCGTCCTCCGCTTCCACGTCCCATCCACATATTCTATTATCGAGTCCCTCCCTAAACCCACATCTAAGACTGGTGCGCATGATGCCGACGCTGCAGCCGCAGCAGAAGAACTAGCTACAATCCAAGCCAACGCTACAAACAACACCGTGAAGTCGCAAAGCGAGATGCTAGAGGAGAAGAAGGATGTCTATACGGCTTTCATATTGGGGATGCTAACAAATCAGGGTAATATGAATGTGGGCCGCATAGCTATGATGATGCGGATGATGGTTCAAGGCGGATTCCCGTTTGGACCTGAAGAGGTGAAGAAGTTGTTGGGCGAATTAGAAGTCGATGGCAAGGTTGTTAGCATGGGTGGCGATGTCTGGAGCGTCAGGAAATGAGAGATTCTTTGTAGGTATGCTAGTGCCCCTGTTCATCGCGAGGCGCACATCAATGCATATGTCATGTCATTCCACTATCCTCTCTCAGTACAAAACTCTAAATGAGTGTACAACGTACATATCATCAATAACGCACGCCTCACCACCTCAGATACGAACGGATTAACCACGGCTCGAAGATGTCGCTACCAAAGAACTCAAGCTACAATAGTCAACGCTGCCAAAATTCGCGCGCCTCATGCACTTCAACACTTCTTCTTCATCACAACTTGCCCGACAGCTGTGTTTAGCCCCGCTGCAATAACATCGTACGACACAACGGATCTTTTTCGAATTCGGCGACTGCACCTCTGCAGAACGAGCGCATTCTACCCTCATCATTGCCAGTTGCGAGCATCGTGATGCCGCTCTCTGTAATCACTTGTCACACGATTCACGTGCACGCCTCGCAAATGTTTCCGCGTTACGAGATACCAACAAAGACTCGCTTCGCGGTCTACTGCTTGTTATCCCTACAATCGGTATCCCTCTTCCAGATGCGACCTCTACGTGACGCCGACATCGACGTACGATTACTCTGGATAGCGCTTCCCGCACAATTAATCTGGATGGCACTTCCCTTGGTCTTCGTCCTGAGGTTCTATAGTATAAACGACCACTCTAGCAACGATGCCAACGATCAACGTCCAACATACGTAGACCCGAGTCCTCCCACATCATACACAATACTACTTTCGATGACGCCTTTCCACCTCGGTCAGATCGCAATCTGGACACGAACCTACCTTGGCTCCCCACCTACCTTCGCCAAAGACATTACCTTCGCCAAAGACATTAGCGCAATCATTCAAGAATGCACTCTCCACTTCGCAATGTCCTTTTGGGTACTCTCCGAGTGCGAGTTCGTACGCGCGTACTGGCATTCTCATCTCCAAGAGTGGCCCGTCACTCTCATCACACTTCCTTTCTCCATCCCTTCAGCCAATTTCGATCATGACTTCCTCGTATCTCGAGATTGTTTTAGCTAGCGGTGGCCGTACCAATATTACATGCCACCCCGGGACGGATGGTGGTCCCTAGAGGCTCTCTTGGGAGTTCCACTCGATATCTTCTACATGATAAGTTTCACGTGGGTGGGGATGGTCTGCTTCCTCTATCCAGTCAAGCGCTTCGCGAATCCGGATCCGAATGGCGACAGCTTTACCGTGAAAAACGAGTTCATGGGAGTGTTCTTTACGCCAAGGTCGTACTGGTTCATATACCTTGACTTTGCGCTCCAGCGTCCAGTCCGATTAGTCAACAGGATGCTGTTTGAATTGGTTGCGGAGGGTATTAAGAGAGCTTTGGATCAGTGGAGGCAGCGAGATCTGCATGGGAAGGCTGATGGAAGTGACCTCGGGAGTACGAGCGACATATCCGCGTCGCGCACCCTTCGCACGGGCTCACCTCAATCCTGTTTGAACAGCGAAAACATTGCCTACACACGGTGGCCGGTAGCTGAAGAACTCTACGAGAATCCATGGAACGACTGGGATACTTCGAATCGCGATGATATTTCACCCGAACGATATATCTCTCAACCTCGCGAAAACTCTTCATCGCTTTGGTCGCATGTCTAGGCATGTCCGCCACGTCACGTCGAATCGCACTCCTCGTTAAGCACGAAGACCATTCGAACCTCCTGTACATGGTCAAGCCTTCAGTATGGGCAGCTGCGAATAGCGGTAGAGGAACACGAGCCGAATGGTCAATATACAAAGTGCCTGGCATTCATCCTTCGGTATCACACAAGGAGCAGACTGAGCTTTGGGTGGAGATATCGAGCAGGATTAGGTCGAGAGGAAGACGAACTGGAGGATACGGTGGTCTGCGGCGGCTCGGGAGAACTCAAGGATCTATTCGACTGCGACAGTCGTGTTGAGCAACACAGAGGAGATGGTTCTGTGTCGTCTTCAGCCATGTTGAAGGCCAGCACTTTGTTGGAGAGCACAACGGTGCTATCGGCTGCTCAGATGGCGGGCGTCGGCGGCATGCGACTTTTGAAGCTGGACTCAAGGGAGGCGATGGTCGGACCCAGGATACCGCAGGTTCTTACTCAATGTTTCGACCAGACTGCGCTAACCAAGCTCAGACGATTTGACTCTACAAGGTAGTGTAGCTCCGGTCGCAAATAATCTCACACGCATGAGCCTGGTTTCTGGCTTGGCCATGAAAGAACCACTGACGTCTTGCCTAGGTCGAATTCGAGCGCCCGCGGCAAATTAGCCCTTGGATCTCACGTCTAATCATCCGCCGCATCACACGTCAGAAGACTCGGCACGAGTTTTGCTCCCAGACTCAGCTCCAAACACGAACCTGAATCGATGGCGAACCTGGGGTTCGGTATATTGGCGGAGAACCTTGGCGGCTTCTTCGGATTGGCAGCGAGCAGGAAACGTACGGGTTACAGTAGATGGGAAATACTACGTGCGTGTATTAGTTGTTGTGTTTTGGGGTAAAGCCATTGCAGAGCATTGTTGGCGGCTGTTCGTTGGGGTTGAGAATGATGTTGGACGGCCAATCTGACAGAGGATGGCTCAGGGTCAGTCTGATACTGCTGCTCGACGTACCAACGAATCAATATGTCCTTGGTCTCATTCAGATCTACACATACTGCCCATGCAATTGAATGTGAGCACTCCAGTCTTCTAAAGTTGTCTACAAACACCGCAGCTGCGCCATTAGACACGCCACAGGCAGCTAGAATCCTCGGACACACGATGGCGGATTCGTAATGATATGTTTTAGCCAACAGAAATCAGTCACTGTAGATTAGGCATTCACAAACGGCTTTGCATAAGGGCATGTTTATAAGTTTCGGGATCTTTCATATCCGAATAAAGAATTTGTCTGCCGCGCCGCATACATGCTTGCAGGCGCGGACGCGGATATGGGGCGCAGTGCAGTTGAAGCTGCAGTAGCGTGTATACACGGGATCGATAAGCGAGGAACTTATCCATCTCCCGGTGCTTTTCGTATCGGATGCATTAAGGCGCCCTTGCATAATCTATATGCAAGTCGGATCACATTTCTTGGAAAACGTATTGGTGTGGATACATGTGGGAAAGAAAGAAAGAAAGACGACAGATGGCCCGCTAGTGAGCGTGGGGGCGATATTCATGTGTAATTCGATTTAGGTCTGTGGGAGGAAGAACAAAGTCACGTATGGGTGACACGGGCCCTTTTCTCCTTACTCAATGACGAGCAACTTCTCTGTAACATCCAGAGCGCCCTCAAAATTACCGCTGATGGCATAGATGCTCTGCATTGCAAACGCCGCATCCGTGCTGAAATCCTCGTACCCCCAATTGCCGTCCTGGCACCGATCTCCTGCCTCCTGTTTAACGTCATCACTAAGCGCACAGCACCTTTCATACGCTGGAAGCGCTAGCGCGACAAGACCCAGCCCATGCCACATCCTTCCCACGTTGTACTCCGCTTCTTGCCGATGGATTGCATGCGGGCTCTTGCTGCGGAGATCATAGTATCTGTACACAAACGACAGACCCTGTTGAATCTGGTATTGCCGGTTTTCGGAGAGCCGTTTCATGGCGTGTTGAACGTAAGCAACACCAATACTTAGATTCAATACTGGATCTTCAGGCGAGATGGTAAAGGCACGGAAGTAATAGTTCAGCGCCGCCACATAACTACCACCGCACATCAAAACATGTCCATACAACGCGAAGAGTGCGGGATCGTGGTCTTTGGCTCTGTCGACATCTTCGACGTTGATGTTGTTTCTGAAACCTCCTTTGCTGTTCTTTGTATCGCGGAAATTATACGCGGCGCGCTGTGCTGGGGTCAGGAGCGCGTAGTCGATAGTCTTGATGTAGCGCATAAGCACTTTGTACGCAGGGCCAGTCGCGAATCCTTCGGGGAAGGAACATAGACGGTTAACGGCACCATAAAGACGGAAGAGGCCTGTCCCGAAAGGGTACTCTTTTAGGAGCCAGCGCGTCGCTACAGATGCCTGACGTGAATTGTCTGCTGCTAGAGCGCAAGTAAGGCGACACAATTGTAGTTGTTGGTGGTAGGTTCGGGAGCGATGGAAGACGTTGGCTTGAGTGGCAATATCGAGTGTAGCGAAACACTGTTCTTCATCTCCTTCGCTGGCGAGCAGGATAGCATAGCGACCGAACGCATCACACCATTTGTCGAAGTGTATGCCCCAGAAATCAACCGGAGCTGAATCTGGTCGCTCTCTCAGCTCAGGATCTGTTTCACCGTCTTCGACATTGTTCGCTACTACAGCAAGTACCATTAGCGAAGACTCTTTCCATAGATCGCCACCCGTAACTCGTCGGAAGTAAGTCATTAGGTCTTCCTTTCGGTTCGAGTAGAACAAGTCGAACGTAGAGAATTCTTCGATGAGCTCCCGAGTGATGGACAACACCTCGTGTACGGCAACCTCGTCTCTTTCCTCTGCCGCTTCCCAAATCTCGTCTAGTCGCTTGAAACTCGAGACGATCTCCCGATGCTGAGCTCGAGCGGCTTTGAGGTCGTCGGCAAAATCTGTTGCCAGTCTCTGAAGCTTGTTACGAAACAGTCTGTTGTTGATCGCTCGATACGGCACGTCGGTACCTTCAAGTGTAGTTCGTCTCGGTTCGATATCGGGAAGCTGCTCAGCATCTTCATCACGAACAGCTAAGAAAGCCTGAACTTTTGGCGCCTTCGCTCTTTTCGTGCGGAAGAAACCCTTCTTAGGACGTTCGGTCGGGGCGACAAGTGGAGGGAGTTCCTTGTTGCCGTTCTCATCTACAGAATCTTCGTCTTCACCGGTCTGCCCGGTAGCTGTTTGCATCCTCTTCCTATTCCTCCGAACCGTACTCTTTCGAACGCCATATCTACCACGAGCTTGCCTTCGCTGGTTATAGTAGTATACTCTGAGCTCATCATATGCCTGGAAACCCAGGTTTTTGAGCTTGTGGCCGTACTTGTCGCGGTAGATAGTCTCAGCACGCTGACCAGCTTCCTGCCACATGCCCTGATCTTCGAAGAACTTTGCAAGGACAGCGAGGTCATCATAGTTCTCTGCCGGCCACTTCTTCAAGATCGGAATGACCTCTGCCGCCCTCTCAGCCCTCCCTAGATTCTTGAAGCATGTGTGCAGGCCAATGTAGCTTTGCAGGTTGAATTCGTTAGAGTTCTTGTCGAATAAAGGCTCGTAGAAACGCAGCGCATGGTCATCGTTGCCTGTAGCGTGAAGAGCATCGCCAATTATACGGAATAGATCTTCGTAGTCCCAAATCAGAGCCTCAGGACCATGGTTGTCCGGCTCCAACATTTCAAGGTGGCGCTAGATGTTCGTCAGTAACGTCCAGAATGTAGCACGAGTTCGAGGCTTACCATAGCTTCTTCAAAGTCGTCCTTGCTCCTGCGCAACCGGAACAAGCCTAATTTCACTCTGATCTCCAATGGCAGAGTTGAGCCGTATGTAGCATCCTGCGATTTTCGAACAAACGGAGGCACAGTAACGCGTCTCGGCTCATCTTCGATGTCGAATTCACAGTCGTCTTCGAGTTTGTCCCAGAATGTCTCAGAACGCCTACCCTGCTTCCACCGGGCAAGCTCCTTCAGTCGTACAACACCTGCTTCGTAGCTACCCGCTCGATCCAAAAGGTCGAGATAGATATTGATTAGTTCCCAATCAAGTTCATTGTTGACCGGATCCCGGTCAGGCTGTGTGAACACATCAATAGCCTCTTCGAAGCTGTTCAGCAGCTTGTTGAGATGTATTCTAGTCTGTTTCGGAGAGGCAGTACCCATCATTGCCATAATCTTCAGTACACTCGTATCAGGGTCTTCTCCTTGCTCCTTGCGTGTTTTGAGCATCTTCAGACCGAGCGCTACGCATTTGGACGAACGACCTAGTTGTGCCTCGATCTCGAGCTTGTGACTACGAGCTTCATAATCGTTGTTGAGCAAGATAATCTCGTTCAAACACGGAAGAATGGCAGCCGACTTGTTCTCATCTGTAAATTGTGGATGCTTTTCAGGATCGAGCTGTTGTATGCGCTCAATGATATACTGCCAGAGACCAGGATCACGCTTGGTTGGCGCACCAGCCAGTAGTACAGCCAGTGAGTCCTCCTCCCGACCCATCTCGGTATAGATCTCCGATGCGATGTTGTAAGCATCAAAGATTTCTGGGTTCAACTGAATAGCCTGCTGAGCGAACACAAGGGCAGCTTCATAGTCTCTTGCGATGAACTTTGCGTTAGCCTGTTGCTGCAACGACTTCCATTCTGCGCCTGGGTCGGCAACAGGTCGAGGTCCTCTAGGACCTTTTTCCCTTCCAGGCTTGCCTCGCTTCTTTTTAGGCGTTGGTCTAGCACCATTGTTGCCACCTCGACCACCACGGCCTCGAGTCGAAGGCCGACCTCGTTTCCCACCACGTCGCCCTCTGGCAGGTATGATACTAGGGGTTACTGCAGCCTGGAGTGCACCTCTGCTTCTGCTCTTCCCTCTCTTGTATTTCGTTCGCTCTTCGACATCCTCGAATTCGACACCTAGCTCCATCTCATCTGGGTCACCTTCGTCTTCTTGTGCATCTTCTGATTCGTAGTCTGCATCGATCTCTGAATCATCCTTGTTCTCGTATCGAGCGAGCTCTTCGTCTTCCTCCATGGCACGTCGCCAATCATCCTGCTCGGAATCCGAACTATCGAAGTCGCGGTCGTAGCGCGAATCTCGGAATCCGGTCGCATTGGTAAACTCATCATCATCCTCTTGTCCGGGATTTGCTGGAATGAACCCTTCGAAGACCGCGGGTCCGCTAGTAGCATAGGCTCTATTGAACGGGTCCTGGAATCCACCACTGGTGAAAGGAGGAGGCTCTTCCTCTTCCAGATCCTCTACAGCGCTGAGCGGAATAAGAGGTATGAAAGGACTCCGGGCTGGCGGTTGATGGTGAAGCGGATGCTGGAATGGAGGTGGGTGTTGGTATATTTCCTGAGGAGGAAATACTGCATTTGGCGGGAATTGTACAGGGTATTGTTGCCTGCCATGTTGTACATGTGGTTGCATCAAGGTTGGTGCAGCAGCTCCGAATGTACCTGCAACGGGTAAGAAACGTCTATTGCTCGACGGCTGCACCAGAGGCCACTGCTGCCCATAGTATCCATTATTGGGGTTCATTATGAGCTTGATTGTGTTGCACTTGCGTTAGTTCAGGCTTGTTAGTGATCAATCATTGTGGTATATAGTACCGAGAAAATGGCGATGGTGATGGAAGCTTGGTGGCAGGGATTGTAGCCGTTGCAAAGCCTGGCGCACGTGCCTTGCGCTAGCACATAGCGTGCATCTCGCCAATATCCAGTACGTCCCTGACACATGAGACCCTTTAGCAATTAGGCTTTCCTTAGATCCCGTCTTTTAGAATCCGATGTGACCCTTGCAGTAAAGTCTTTTTTGTCATACCCTACCAACTTCTTCTTTATACCCAGCATAGAGAGGTTGGAAGGTGTACCAACGGACTAAGAAGAGAAAAGGTCACCACGAAGAAGAACGAAGCAGTCGGAACCTCTGGCCTGCTGCTCGGGCAGGCCCAACCGCTTTCCCGACCACTAGTTTAGCAACCCTTGTAAGCGTTTCAGGTAAGATGCCGACTGTATATAGAATAGATGCCAACCCTGAATCTTGGAAGGGTCTATTATTGTCTTGTTAGGATTCGCCGTCGTGACTGCACTCTTGGATAGTCATTGCGCCCGCATCAGCCCATTTTGAAGCATATACCTTATCACCTCATATGTCTTGCGATTGTTGTTTCTATCTTCATCACGACCATGTTATCCGGACATTTCCTCATCATGCTGTCGATATGTTTCACCGCATCCGCTCTCAACATACCGAAACATGACACACAGTTGCCTCTCCTTCCAGAACACGAGGGCCATCGAACGCAATCGCAAAACACCCGCGTCCTGTTGGCGTTAAGAGAAAGCGAAAGCGATGTGGAGCATCATGTTGAGATACCTTTACATACGCCTGTCTTTTCGGGTAGGCTGCATCAAATAGGCTCCATTTTGGCCTGCTTTAACAAAAATCGCCAGTCGTAAACTTTCCGAGTCAGCTGAGCACTATAGAGATCACAACAGCCACCGAACAGGGCCAATCGATATCACAGACAAGGCTTGACAGGGTTATATGCAGAATCATACCAAAAATTAGCGCGGAGGAGCAAGAAGCAGTGGACTTGGGAATGGAGCTTAAGGTGTTGCCGTGGTTTGCAATAAGAGATGGAACCGTCCAAGTCGATGATAGTAATTCCAGATGGTTTCTCGGAGGTAGAAGAGTAGAGAGTTACGAGTGTCGATGACAGGGTAACGGAGACCAGAGATGGGAGAGAAGTAGAAGGCAAATGTTAATGTATAATGACGCATGCTTTGTCAGGGTATAGTACAATGGCCCTCAATGGCCTCGTGAAGCAAAACGCCGTTTATGCAGGTCTGACATGTGGTCAGACGTTGTTGTCCCCCTCGCCCATACCAACCATCTCGTATTCACCAGCGCCGTCTCTGCCTCTGCCCCTGCCTCTTCCCCTAGACTCTCCACCCTCGTCCTCTGCGGCTGGTTGTGATGGCGAAGGCTTCTTGCTGCCAAAGTTGATTGGCCTCAGTTCCCGCCACTGGCATGCCCATACGCCTAGCGAAGTCATGATGGTGGCGCTACATATCTGCAGCGCCCACCAGAACAAGTTGGCGGGTATGGCGTGGGTGTACAAGGAGGTGACAATCAAGTGGATAAAGTGTACAGTCAGGGCGAAGTCAAGAACGAGTTTGGAGCGGGCGATGAGAAGTAGTATGAAGATGGCACTGCAGCGTGTTAGATGGTGGCATGACTGGGACCAGCGCGTCGCAGCACTTACCAGGCGAGGCTGTTCAGCACCCAGACCAGACCCAGAGTCCATCCGATTGTGGTATCGCCGCGTAGACTTTGCCAGCCGAACAAGAGATCGGTGCTGACCTCCTTGCCCGCTACCAGCGCGGTAAAGACAATAAGGATGCCGGCGCATGCATAGTAGGCAAGTTGCAGCAGTAGGATCTGGGAGAGTATGCGGGTCGGGGACAGATCCGCAAGTGCGCCAGGTCGTGGAGGGCGGCGTCGGCGTGGCATCAATACGCAGGCGGTGCGCTATGACATGAGCACAAGGGGAGGCGGAGGGTTGATTGATCGTAGGTGCAAGGTTGCCTGTTGATTCACGGGTTCCCGTAACCGTTCGGCGAAACGTGGGCAGTCAGCGCCGATGTCATAGCTTTTGGGCCCGCCAAGCACGGATTCGAGATGATTGCGCTGTTGGACGTGTATTGTCAACAATTCTACCAAGCCTACATAGTCTGGCCTCGAGCATCCCCTCCCGACGTACGCAGCCACCCCGAACAGCCTCCTGTGACACTCGCCTCCCGTGCCACTGACTCCCGCGCCAGCTGCGACAGTCGCCTCCACCTCCGCATCTTCTCCGCAACCTTCGAAAATCACAGCCATGGGTTGGTTCGGCTCAAGCTCCAAGGACGACGGCGGTGTCAAGAAGACAGACGGCGGCGCATTCGAGTCACCGTCACGATCCAACCGGAAGCAATGCTATGCAGCACGCGACGCCTTTTTCGAATGTCTCGACAAGAACAACATCTTGGATAGCATAAACTCAAAATCCGGCAGGGACAAGGCCGCAAGCTTCTGCGCGTCTTTTGACCAGGAGTTCGAGAAGAATTGCGCACACAGCTGGGTACGTAGAATTTTCTGCACGGCAACCACATTACACTAACAGTCTGCTGCAGGTCGAATACTTCAAGAAGCAACGAGTTGTAAACTACCAAAGAGAACAGACAATCAAAAAGATTGAGATGCAAGGCGGAGAAATTACAGCGCCGCAACTACCACTGCCGGGCCAGAACAAGTAGATGAAGCATGGCCCGACAGTCTTAATAACGCCGCTCATGACCAATGTACAACATGTATACTACTCTCAAAGCGCTCGGAAAAAAGCGTTTGCAGCTGCCACACAGAATGGTTTCCCCTGCAATTCTAGACTTTCTACACTAAAGCGAATATGTCACTCATACACTATCTCGTCGAATCCCATGCAAGACATCGCCTCTACCTCAGACCTCCAGAACAAATGATCGTGCATGAACCTCACACCCTCCGCGCGGAGCTGTAACCCGAACCAAAGGTCTAGCACACTACATTACTCAAGTTGTGACTAGGCTCGCATAATGTCGTCACTGCGTCTTGGGAACGCTGACCGATGTAGCTTAGGTATTCGAAGCGTCGAGCCGCACCTGTCAAGTTTACTCCTTGCATGAAGGGGGGTTCGTCGCATAGACCCAAGGACGAATCGGGGAGTGGCGGGGCCTAGCTTGTCCGTGCAAGCCTACGCGCGGGAGTTGTTTCGACTTGCAGAATCGTAGCCCGAGTGTGTAGGTCAGGCCGCGTCTTGGCTTGCTGTGAACTTCTGTCGGCCACCATACCTCGAAACGCATGTGGACATTTGTCGGCAGTTTCCTTTTGCCCGAGCCTTGTTGCTGACAGCAGAAACTCTGCTGTTGAGGGGGGGGGACGTGCAAGTCTTCAACTCTGTTCCGTACAACCCCTCATCAGCACAAAAGCCTAATCATCGAGAGCATCAGCATCGACCCGTCAAGTCCAAAATCCTACACGCACAAAACTAGCAAAGTGCAAGAACATGACAAATATCTGACCACAAGACAACATGTTACCCAATATTGTTCATTAATACTGATTGGCTACTAGAACGTGCAGGTTTTAGCCGCAGAATCGAGCGGCAGTAGCAGCAGTGCGCCGCCTGGTTCGAGTCCTCGGGTCGGCGAGATCTGAGCTTTTTCTCGGTTATCTGTGCATACTGAGAACCCCCACCCCACCATCCCAAGACTTCATCCGAGTCAAGTGGCTTGTTTTACCCCTCTATTGGGTTGGTGTGTCTCTGAAGGATCCTGCCCTCGTGTGTATGTGTGTATGTGTGTGCGTGTCGGTTCGTGTGCTTCGGTTTCGTATGCTTCGTGACCATATCCCATGCTATCCATACCAAGTTTGCGTTGCTGTTAGTCGATTACTTTTACTGTCGGCGTCGTCGCCGAGGACGTCTGTCACCACTTGGTCGGCCAAATAGTCGCAGGATCGAACTCGCGCCTAAAAATCTCCACATCGGACGCGCACCCTTTGCTCGGCGACCCAACCATACTACTGTCAATAGCAAACACGACATCCTGGAATGCGCCATGGAACTCCTCCTCTTCGAAGAGTAGTTTTCTCCACATTCGCGCTACCTCCTGTGCTGGGTTGCGGAATATAGGCCCTAAGCCGAAAGCGCCCAGCACCAAGTTCCTGTGCCCGCAGTAGGATGCGATTCGCAATACTGCCCGCATTTTCTCCCTCATGAGCTCCTTTTCTTGTGCAAACGAGTATTTGCATCCGCTCTCGTCGAGCTTGGGACGTCGCACGGGTGCAACCGATATTACGGGTAGAGAGGCTATGTCTGTAAAGGTTGCATAGTCTTGATCTGGGCCTGCTCGGAACACAACTGCGGCCCGTTAGTGACTTGTGACTCGAGACGAGCGTTGCTGTTATCTCAACGTACAGACTTCAGGGGAATAGATGCCGCCTGTCTGTGGTATTGGGTAGTAGTTTTCTTCTCGGCCCAATTGCGCGTTCCATGGCATTGTTAGAGCATGTACGAGATTGCTTCTCCTCGCGAAACATTCTTCTGGTGCCATAAGCCCGGATTCCCAGTCACCTCCAGCGCGTTTCTCGTTCGCTACGTTGATCACTGGAATTCGCTTGCAGTCTGAATCTGCGTTGACCGCGCTTTGATACCAGCCCAAAGCGTAGTTCACTGGGTCACCTTCCATGACTGCTACTCTTGTGCGTTGTGATGATCGTTTGTCCACGTTGATTCTTATTTGTGCTGAGTCGGGATATAGGTATGAGGTCTTGGAGTCTCGAATGTAGTGTTTCCAGATATGTGGCATCCATATCCGTTTTGCTTCGGCTGCTATCTCTGACGGCTTGGGTCTTGAAGGCGGCATGATAATGAAATACTATGAGCAGCTTTGATATGAATTCTTGTATAACTGTACGTAGATTGGAAGGATGTATAGTTGCAGCGTGAGATGGCCTGAAAGTAGGGAGGGGCGGGGTGAAACGGCGAGGAGTCTATGACCCTACCGACAAGAGGGTAGTATATCACTTGAGCAACTACTCAGGAGCGTGTGATAACGCAGCTAAATAATGGCTCCAGATCCAGCCGGAGACTAAGCTGGCGCATTTCCGCTGCGCCAGTTACCAAAACGGTAGTCGTCTGCGGGAATCGAGCCCTCCCCTGTTGGATGCAGTCATCGCGGGTGGCATCTACACCAGCAGTAGCGCAAACCTGCAGGAGGATGGGACATGAGTCGTATGCCCAAGCAATTTAGGGTAGGCACAGTGGTCGATGCCCGGTAGCAGCCGCGCCGTGTGATTGAAAAATCCATCCTGGTCCTGGGGGCGACGCTGTGCACCCACATAGCTGCCAGGTACCTTGAAGCCACTAAGTGCCGTGTCGGGTTTCTGGGAGTTGTTGGAACAGGGATGTGTGGCTGGATCGATCGTCCAGACCTTGAAGCGATCTGCATAGAGTTAAAAGCGGTTTAGAAAGATCTGGCGGCGTTGAGCAAGCCGATGATGACAGCTGCTAACCAAGATCCTGCACGATATAGCGTCGCAGTGATAGCGTCGGCACTAAGATCCCGGATGCAGGGTAAATGTACTTTGCTGGAGTGTTGGCGTTCTACGAGGCGTCTTTCTCACCGCCAGCGGATGTTACACGAAAACGTCCAGTAACGAACAAGTCCGCCGCCCTTATGACGGGTGCATGCTTCCAGCATCTCGGCACACGATGGGAGTTGTACAAACAGCCGTCTCGCTTGGTGGGGCGTGTCTTGGTGTGCTGACTGGGGGTGGAGTAGAAGAGGAAGCTGGCCCGTCCAATGATGGTAAAGAGGGCCACCAAGAAGAACACCACGACACCAGGCTCCGAAGTCCATCGGCGCTATGTTCATGGGTCACAAATCTCGTGCACTTTCATGGTCGGTCCTTGGAGCACATAGTGTTTCAGCCATGGCTGAAGTGTTACAGTCACGATTAACGAGCCACAAGAACGGTACGGGCGAGGCCCGCCAGATCCTAGCGCATGGTCAAAGCGTCTGTACTTTTTTTCTTAGGTTTCATAGACAGCATACCGATAGAGGCAGCTGTTGCTACGCTACAGAGCACACCGCACATTTCCTACTGGCTGATCGAAATTTGCCGACGCGTAAATGAGTTGGCTCCTGCCCGTTCGAAGGAGTGTTGTCCGCCCCCAGTACTTACTTCGAAACCGGGGAACCGCTTTGCCTTGCGCACATGCGCTATCACTATGTCGTCCTCGCTGCAGTTCAACCTTCTGCCCAAGCAATATTGCTGAGCTGCTGAGGCCATCTCCACAATCAATCTCCGCTCAGCGGACTCCACGGGACAATGAGGCGCTGACGATAAACGGCTATGTGCGGACAGTGCGCAAGCAAAAGCGTATTGCATTTGCTGCCATAGGAGATGGCTCGACCCTGCAGACAGTACAGGCAGTGCTGCCTCCCCAACTAGCGGAAGGGTCAGTAGTCTACTTCCATATGATCTGTAAGTACTGACATGCTGTGCTATCAGTCTCTCCACTGGTGTTGCAGTGACGGTCACAGGAAAGTGGACACCCTCGCCAGGTCAAGGCCAATCCCATGAACTTCAAGTAAACCAAGTGCAAATACTGGGAGAGAACGATGCTACAGTAAGTTGGTTCGAGTGAGCATTGAAGTAGTCTCTGGGTTCTGATCTGTGTTCCAATTGCAGGCCTACCCAATCCAGAAGAAATACCAATCGCCTGAATTTCTGCGCACTCTCCCGCATCTTCGAAGTCGACTACCAATCAACTCTCTTATATTGCGGCTGAGGTCTTTAGTCACTGCGCAAGTGACCAACTACTTTGCAGAACATGACTTCGTTCAGTGTCATCCACCTATCATCACATCTTCCGACTGCGAGGGTGCAGGAGAGGTATTTACTGTTGCGCCTGAGGTACCATCGTCATCAGACAAATCCTCTTCAAACCAGATCAAGAAGCATGAAGACATGTTTTTCGGCTCTCCCAAATACCTCACCGTTTCTAGCCAGCTTCACCTAGAAGCTTTGGCTCAATCAGTGAACAAGGTCTGGACGCTGTCTCCAACATTTCGAGCCGAAAAGAGTGATACGGCTCGTCATCTTAGCGAATTCTACATGCTGGAAGCAGAACTAGCTTTCGTCGACGACGCCAATGTCGTCATGGACGTTGTGGAAGAGATGTTGCGTTCTGTTGCGTTGAAGTTACAAGAGTCAGTTGTAGGTCAAGAGCTCCTTGAGGCGCGAGCACGAGACCAGGATCAAGAAAGCACATCCGTGTCGCACGCTACCCTCGCACAACGGTGGCAAGGGCTGGCAGAAGGTCCATGGCCTCGAATCTCATACGCGGTTGCGATACGGCACCTCAAGGACGCGGTGGCTCAAGGCAAGGTGGAATTCGAGTATGCACCTGGTCATGAAGACGGCCTACAAACCGAGCACGAACGATTTCTGGCTGAGAGCTTGGGACGCGGTGGACCCATATTCGTCACTGACTATCCACGCAACATCAAGCCCTTCTACATGGCGCCGTCAAATGATCTGACTGTTGATGAATCGGCTGCACCGACAGTCGCATGCTTCGACCTACTTGCACCTGAGATTTGTGAACTGGTGGGAGGTTCTATGCGTGAACACCGACTGGAACAACTTCTGAAATCCATGGAGGAACAGGGCCTCCAACAAGCGTCGGACGATTCTACCGACGCATCAGACGGCTCTTTGCAGTGGTACGTGGACCTCCGACGATACGGCAGTGTACCGCATGGAGGCTTTGGTCTTGGATTCGATCGACTCCTGTGCTACCTCGCTGGTGTGCCTAACATCAGGGACGTAGTCAGCTTCCCCCGGTGGCACAAGCGGTGCGACTGCTGATGCGCAAACAAAATGTAAGGAGCTCCGGTGTCCCGGACCACGGCATCGCCAGCTGTTGGCGGACATGTTGCTTCGTAACGTGCCATGGCAGATAGACTGGATAGCATTGCTGGTTGCAGGTTATGAAAACCGCGCGTTCATTGTACTTGTACGATGGGCAAACTGCTGGATCATGGTGGTTGATGATAGTTGCAAATGAGTATAATAACCTCGGACCATCCACAACCGATTATGTTGGAGGCACCCACAGATGTCTATAGTAATGCGTGCAGGCTTGCTCTGTTGTTTATTCAGCGCAGACTGGAGATATAAGCTTGTCGTTTACTCATTTACTAGACGCTGTGCTAGGAGCACTTAGCGAGCAGGAGCTCGGCACCGAGCTTGAGTTGACATCCACTATGCAAACTATTCCAAGATCGGACATTATTCAGCATGCGGTTCTGGATGCGCTAACTCAAACCCGGCGTCTTTGCGGGGTATCGTGAGTGAAGTCAGGCTTTGCGTACAAGCATGTAGGGGACAGGACGCAGACGTGTGGCGGACGGTGTATGCGGGCGGAGATGATCTGATAAGATATAGTTGAGTCCAACTATTTCCCCTCCCGCATCCGAGGCACCTTGGCTGAGTCTAGCTATCGCGTTGATGATGTACTTGATCTCCGCGGCACCTGTCAACCATCGTTGCGCATTTGAGGGGTCATGGCAAGTGGCCAGCTGTGGCCAGATTGCAGGGGGCATCACGATGCAGAATTTGCCAGTATATGGGCTGGCATGCGCATGCGTAGGTTTGCCGTGCAAGCTCCGGCATCGCTGTTGATGGCATGGGTACGATGAGAGTAGATACTAGAGAGAGTACCTAGTCGCCGGATTTTAGGTCTGACGTCTCGGCGTTCGGCTGAAGTCATCTCGCGCTTCCGTTAGTTGCAAACAAAAGTAACAACTTCAATTTCGAACCATTGCCCACTCACCTCACCTGGCCCTCTCGCAACGACGCCCGAAGCTGCCATATCTTGCCCAAAAACAAATACCACCATAGTCGCAAACCTGGAATCCGCGGCGCCAGTAACAGGCCGACTTATGGCCCCCAATGATCGGCCATCAGTTCCTATCGAAGAAGAACACGAGTACAGCTCCATTGCACCACCACACATAGGATACACCCGTCGCTGACCTTCGCGCCAGTTATGAAGCGCTCCCGCCAAACTTCTCCCTCACCGCGAATATGCTTGCGGGCGCATTTGCGGGCATCGCCGTACGTCCCCGACGTCGCCGCCGTGAGCACATGTCAACTGACTTGGCGATAGGAACACTCGGTGATGTACCCAGTCGATCTACTCAAGGTGCGCAGCTTTCTATCAAGCTTTTCGTCCACTGCCAACAGTGCGCTGACTTCCGGTAGACCAGGATGCAGATCGTCAACCCGTCGCCGAGCGCCATGTATAGCGGCATCTCCAACGCCATGGTCACTATATCGCGAGCAGAGGGCTTTTGGTCATTGTGGAGGGGGCTTTCGAGTGTGGTGATGGGTGCAGGTAGGCAACGCTGGGTGAAAGGTCGGGGGTAGACGGAACTGACAGCGTGCAGGTCCCGCCCATGCTGTCTATTTTGCATCGTACGAAGCCACCAAGCACGCCCTCGGTGGCAACGAAGGAGAGAGCCACGAGCATCATCCTCTTGCAGCAGGTGCGCACAACCAATACGACGTAAAACAAGGGGCAGCTACTGACTACCAACAGCTGCCAGCGGTGCTGCGGCCACCATCTCCAGCGATGCGCTGATGAATCCTTTTGACGGTAAGATGCGCATTACGACTTCGCTCCGCGCCTACTGAACCTCGCAGTCATAAAGCAACGCATGCAAATGCATGGTTCCGTCTACAAATCTGTCCCTCAATGCGCCCGAGAGGTTCTCCGTACCGAGGGAGTCGGCGCATTCTACGTCTCATACCCCACTACACTGTGTATGACGGTACCATTCACCGCGCTGCA